AGCACTTGAGGAACCGAATCTTTGAGCAACCTTTCCAATGGAAGCTGTAACGAGTAGAGAAATGATGAATACTATATATATATATATATTTGAATAATCCCTTTAACGTAAAAAAGACATGTAAAAAACAAAAATTTATATCTTAATGTTAAAAATAATTGAAGCTAACCCAACTAATCATTCTTCTCCAGCACAAGGATTTTGACACTCTAAGATCAAAGATGGCTAGGTACAATAGAATAAAGCTTTGTACTGGTTTTCATTCGGCCGAATGAATGTCATGGAGTGGGATAAAGAGACGTAGTAGCATATAATAAGATGTATTCTATTCTACATTGAGCCTGCAATTAACGGAATTAGACCTGACCTGAGCTNTGAGCCTGCAATTAATGGAATTAGACCTGAATTGAGCTCAGTAGAAGTGATCCAAAATCTGCCACATTTACATGTTGGATATTCAGTTTAAAGGTCAGAATACATATGACGTGGTTGGCAATTGCCCTCTTACGGGAAGTGGTCAACAATTGTCCACTTAATCAAAGCAAACTTTTATTTTGAGAACGTAAACGCAGCCCTAGTGTTTTATGTTTATTTTTGAGTTAATAATATTTTTAGTTTTTAAAATATATACATTTTATCAGTTTAATTTTTAAAATAATTTGTTTCCTACACAAATAGACCGTTAATTTTTTGTTAGAATGATTACGTGTTGGTTACGTAATACCGTTTAAAAGAATGACATGTGATCGTTTTAAATAAAAAATTTAATAAATTATCTTATTAGGACCAAAATGACACCGTAAATTTTAGGAAATTAAAGAAAGACAAATAAGCCGATACAATATTCTAATCACAAGAAGAAGTAGATTGGGTAGGACTGCGGTTAATGGTGACCAATGAGTACAACGTTTGTTCATTTTTGATTAATCTTTAAAGAAAATGAGTGATGGGGAAATTGACATACGGAGGAGGGCATTATAGAAAGCTCGAATAGGTAATTGGAGTTGAATTAATTTGGAGAAGAGTTATAGGTAAAGACAAGCACTCTTAAGACGATGGTCGCCACAATCGCCATCGTCTTCGCTATCACCGTTACTTTCACCATCATCACGATCATTACCACCCATTATAACGATCATCGTTCCTTACCAAGTTATTTAAACATCTTTATCTCCTTCTTTTCTTTCATTTTCTTTGCTTTCATTTTCTTTTTTTGATATAAATAATTATGTAATTTTACACCACATATTCTTCGGGAGTATTATCACTCAGTACCACACAGTTATTAGCAGGAAACTCCACCACACTTATGATGGGGTCATGACTAAGGTCCCACCACATATTTCAGACGTTGAAGAGTAGATTTAATTACCATAAATTACTGTAATTTTGAAAACTCGAACTCGAACTCGAAGTCAAAAATGAAGCTACAACTACTAGAGCAACCGCTCGTTGGTCTTCTCTTCTCTTTCTAAAAAATGAAAAAAACTTTCACTACACAAGACAAGCCACGGGCTGGATTGGGCCGAGTTTAGGCTGGGCCAACATGGAAAAAGGCACTGTGTGCTTGCCCAGAGCCAACCCAGCCCAAACTTCAGGCAAGATATGACCTACCCCAGGTCCAAGATTGGAGAATCTTTGTAAATGTGTGAACTGTTCAGAAGGAGCATAAATCTAAGGTTTGGTTAATACTGAATCATATATCAAAGTTAGGAATCTCCTACCTGTCGCGATACGATTACCACGTGATCATTTTGATGATTTAGTATTCCCATCATTAGAGGTGTGGGCCCTTGAAGCTCTTTGCACCCTTGATTGTCATGAATCTTGAAAATCTCAACGAATTTTAAATTCTTTTATTTATTTTTTATGTTTGTGAATTAATTTTAAATATAAATATAAATATATTTATTATTTGTTAATTTAATTATTTTATATTTTTATACACAAATAATAACTAGTTTAATAATAAAGATTAACGTAACAGTGTTGTCATAATTTGCGCAGAAAAACAAGACACTTGGGAGACCAGCCGCCACGAAGAATAGGCCGACTGACCTACTACACGACATAATGAGTATGATAGAGAAGAAAATATGACACCAAAAAAATCGGATTTAACTACCGCACCGTAAAAAGTTTCAGTATCGTACCTTTAAAATTTTTTATTTTAAAGAATATTTTTATAATTTTTGTAGATTATTTTATAATTATTTTTGTTATTAATTTACCACTATTGTATGTGTTTTTACCACATTTATGGTAACTATTTTTATCACTTTTTTTTTAAGTACAAAAAAAATTATCAATTTTGAGAGTTATTTATCACATTTGTTAGTATTTTTTATCACATTTGTAGATATTTTTATCACTGATAAGATAATTATTTTTACTATTTTTTTTGGTACCACATCAATGGTAAAAATATCTACAAATATGATAAATTTTTGTATGATACTAAAAATGTGTTTGGTTGTACCATAGCCAACTCCAAAAAACATCAAGTTATAAGTTATATTTCTAAAATGAATAATTGATTACAAAATATTGAGGTCCGTCGCAAAAAATGTGATAAATAACATTTATACAGAAGTACAAAAACTGCAAACAAACTACAGAAATTATTTATATCTTTCATTCAGTCCTTGCTTATTGAACACAAATATTTTGCCTCTCGTGGCAAAAGCACTTCCAAGGGATAGGATAGATAAGCTTCCTGAGCTAGTTTGTTGTGCTATCCAATGGTTCGCATTTATTGATAAATTTTCCAATGGGTTGCATTATTGTTCTGACATGTTCATTTATTTAATAAAATTTGTCTTCAACTTTCTCGCCCCCACCAAAAAAAAATTGATTTTAGGCTTTTTTTTGCCCGAACGGTCGTGAAAGTTAGAGTCAGTTTATGTAAATTTCGATTAATTTTTTTTTAATTCGATTAAAGATAAATTATTCACACTGAGACCATAATATTCATGAGATATAAAATTTTTATGACTTGAAGAGATTAATAGTCTTTATTTATGTTTTTTTGACTTGAACTTTTGTCACAGAAATTAAAGAAAGGCATCGTATATTTTTCAGGTGGGCAAATATCAATAATATTTATTTAATTTAATTTAAGAATTTGCGGCTTTAATTAATTTTTGGAATTGAATTTACAATGGATTATGCTCAAACGACATTATTCATTGATTATTTTTATGATAAATTTCAATGACACCTTTTGAAAAATTGTCTAATTACAGGGATGCTTCTTGTGATTTTAGAAATATTACTATCATCTGCTATAATTTATATGGCTATTTTACATATTACCCCTACTATTAGACACGTCACTGACGCATCTAAAAAGTTATAATATTAATAAATATCCTTCTACCAATAATTAGGTAGAATATAATATAATTAGGTCATTTTTCAAGGAGTGTTAGTGAAATTTATCCATTATTTTACCCCCAAAACCTTTTCTATAACACTTTTGTTTTTGCCCTTTTTGTGTACATTAACTCTAAAATTAAAAAGAAAAGCACAATTTGGTGGAATTGGAGTTAAATTATAATTTTAGTTGTCCCTTAAGGAGCACATGTAGAAACCTTTGTCAAAAGCCTTCTAAAGAACTAGGGGCAGAGCTGGAGTATTTCTCTAGTGGGTGTAATATAAAATTTATTTATAACTTAAAATTATAAGAGTAACATTATTTTCAAAAAATATTGGAACAATAATATTTTTTTATAATTATAGTTAATGTACTCTTATCAATTTTCAAAGTTATTAAATAAAAAAAATAATAGGATTTAAAAAAAAAAATCTATTAGAGTCTTTAAACTAAAATTAGATATAGATATAGCGGCAATTGAATCAATCATAATTCATAACCAAATTATTTAATTTCAATTAATTGGAACAATTGTACAAAAACTAAAATAGGCTAATTTCAAATGGAGCAACCCAATTAAATGTAACAAAATTCAAATAATTTCAGTTCCAAAATTAAAATATCATAGAAGACGGACGGGACTAACTGAATCTGTAATTTATTAATGCATGATTGCAACTCTATATCAATAAACCTATTTGGCATAACCGAACTTTTTTACGTTTCCCTCCTCCAACAATTTTAAATTTTAAATTGATCGAAATAAAAAATGATGGAATTGTCATCATTCAATTTAGACAAAGATTTTGAATTCAACAGTTTATTGTGAAGAAAAAGTTGAATAGATAAAAATAATAGAAATCCTAATTACTGTGCTAAAAAATAAAAAAAAATTACAAATTTATTCATTTATGCCTTTATAGGTTACCTCTTGTGACTATACGATGGAATGAGCAATACTAAAGAAGAAACAAACGAAGGAACAACTAAAAGGAAAAGTGGGGACCTTTTTTTTTAACCTAACTTTACAATGTATAAAAGCATCTTGAGTTTTATCAAAATTTCAAAACTTCTCTTAAACCTTTTAAAATATTTTTAATAGGCACAATATCTTCAAATTTGAAATATTTTATCTACACCCCAAAAATTTTTAAATTTGCAGTGGGGGACAGTTGTCTTGCGGCCTCCACCCGTAAACATGATAAGTTTTTATTTATTTAGTGTTCAGTTTATTTTCTAAATAAATTAAGTTTAAATAATTTTTAAAATTCTTTTAAAAAAATAGGTTCAGCAAACTCATCGCAAACTCACGCATCTCGGCTCGATTTTCAGCCATATTATTACGTTCCAAAAATTTTCACTATGGTCATCTTGTGGGAAATCATTTTGCATAGAAAAAAAGGATATAATATACTATTGAGCTGCTAAAGTAAGCCAAATGAATCTTGACAAGCCTAGAGAAAAGGTCCTTTCTGCGTGATGCCGATGGGTTCTCTATAATTACTCTCTCTCCCTTGTATAGAGGCAAGAACATCTAAAGATATATTGCGCTACTAGTTCTTCAAAAGAGGAAATACCTATCACGAGGTTATCTGAGAGCGTGGTGTCACTATCATCTGGAAGAATGGGGATTGTGCGGCCAGAGGAGAGCCAGAGGATGGAGATCGAGGAATTTTGCCGGATGCTGCTATCCTGCGCTGGTGTTCGCCGGAGGAAAGACGAAGATGCTTACAGAGACCGACGTGTGAGCACCGGAGACGATGCACAAGAGAAGCTGGTATGCGTCACCAGCGGCGTATCTTTCCTCGGTCTCGCTATCGTGAACCAGCTCTTAGTCCGTGGCTATTCCGTCCGGATCACCGTCGATAACCAAGGTGAGCTTTATTGTACCTAGCTTCCAAATTTTGTATCTGACGACTAAACGGTCCCCTTTTTGTTTTTTTTGGGCGAATTACACTTTGCGCACTTCAAAATTGAAGAAAGAATTCCTATTTTGCATTCTCAGCACTTCCGTTAGTTTTCATTATTAATTCTATGGATTATTCATTCTATCGATTTCAATTGGGTGGATTTTGACGGAATAACCAACAGAAGATACAATTCAATGATCGCATTGAAACACATTTAATACATTGAAAGTATAATATGAAAAAAAAAATCTCATATTTAAAGGTATAAAGTGGAAAAACTTAATTATTTCGGGGTGCAAGATGAAATTCCCCCTTCTTTTTTTTTTGAGTATAGGTGCAAGCTAGTCTCTCTCACATTTATTATTAGGCATCAATGCAATATCTTAACTTCTAATCGAAGAATTTCATTTATAATCGGTCAAAAAAAATCAAAGAATTTCTGGAATGAGTTTCAATAGATTTTCTTGTCTAATTTCTGATATTCTAAGTAACATTTTGTACTAGATTAAGTCAATCGAGTTCTTGATAGTACATATGAGCGATTTATTCCTAAGGAATTTCTTAGTTCCAATCCAGTCTGATATTTAATTTATACAAATGATAGAGAAGCCATATTTGACCAACGTATACTCTCATTTGATTCATTTTCTTGGTCAGTTTTCAGCTACTAGATTTCTTTTTATAATTTGTCAAATGGAATTTTTATAAATCATTATTTTCAGGGATTTTAAACCTTGATAATCCCTCAAGATCAAAGAGATTTATTCCTTTGTATAATCTAGTTCTGATTTGAATGGCTGATATGTCTTTGACCAGATCAAGATAAATAATGAAATTAGTTGAAGTGTACGTAAACTAATTCGAACACTTTTGATTGTTGGATCAAAAAAATTATTACCCCCACTGTGCAACTCATTCTCCGTCGTGTTGCATTTGGGGCAATTTCCGTGTACTGTGGAGAACAAATGCACCACGCAATCCAAGTGATTAATCACCCATCACTTTTTAGCTGACCATGTGAACTGAACCACGTCGTTACATGCTCTGGCCCAAGCAAGCTGTCAATTATAACAGCTGTTTTTGGGTCCCCATTTCCTTTGCGTTTTGATGCCAAATAGCAGATCAGTCGGGAATAATGTTATTGAAATTTAAAAAATTAATTTAATTTGTCGATTTAATAATGTGGCCTGATGTGATTTAATAGTCTTGTCGTGACTGTAATTTTTGCACTTCTTTATTAGGATTTGATTACTTAACACATCGTTATGGTCAACAAATTATGTCAGTTTTTTAAATTTTCATAGCATTACTCGACCTATAAATATGTTGTATTTTGCATCATGGTCAATTCCTTTACACGTTTCGGACTCAATTTGAAGACTAGGTCTGTGGACCTAATCAATTGCAGATTGCAAGTTGGCTCGACCCAACAATGAAATTTACAACTCATTTATTGATTGCAATAAATTAAGTTCTTGATTACGTCCCTAAGTTAGTTTACTATACCATTGCTCCTATGATATCATGGACAAGACTATGGTACCGAAATTCTACATAATTTGCTATATGTGGCTCACTTGCATTCATTCGTAGATGTTAAAGTTCTTTTATTTGACTAATACCACGAGTTCTAGGTAACTTCATATTACAAAAGATTTAAGTGTTAAAAAAACCGTATTCCTCAAGTCCCATATGGTCTGGATTGACAATGCAGAAGATGTGGAGAAGCTAAGAGAGATGGAAATGTCAGGGGAGATGAGGGGAATTAGCAATATTATTGAAGCTGTTGTTGCCAACTTGTCAGAAGCTGAAAGCTTGTCGGAAGCATTTCATGGTTGTTGTGGCGTGTTCCATACCGCTGCTTTCATCGACCCTGCTGGGCTGTCTGGCTACAATGTGAGTCCTGTTTCTTTCTCCTTTTTATTCTCTTTCTTACTACAGCTTGCTTCTTTCTCCTTTTTCTTCTCTTTCGTACTAGTTCTTTCTCCTTTTTCTTCTCTTTCTTAATCAGTTCATACACTGTTTACGTCTTAATCACATCAGGACAATCTATAGGGATGTCACTAATGTTTACCATATCTTTAATTATACTGTGTGGGGGCCAATAAAAGAATGAAACCCGTGTTTTTTCTAGAAGTATGTCCTTGTTCTACAGAACATCAGATGTGCAGGTAAAATAATGGGTAGGCCCCTTATAATTTCCTCTTTTTTTTTTTTGGTAAGTACCTGTAATTTCCTGTTTTTATAATCAAACACATGATATTCTCGTGCTTAGTACATCGCAATTATGCACATATGTAATGATGGTAGTGGACTAGGGAAAAACGGAAATTTGTCCAAACTTATCTCATTTGGACTGAGTATGGACTTTATGGATTGGACGGTGGATATATACAGAAATACCGTATAAACCCGTGCGAGAACAGAGACGAAGATGTGCTAAAATTTATCCCCACCTACCCCGTTACACTAAACCCATTAGATTTATATATAACAAAAAAAATATTTGTGGGTTATACCATTTGTCAACTTATTTCTTTGTTTTTGGTTTTGATTATATCATATGATACAAGAATACAACTTGTACTTTAATTTTTATGGTTTTTTTTAATTTAAAATTATAGAAATTAATTGTTATGAGTGGAAGTGGGCGCGTGGGCAACGGTGGGGGTTAGAATTTACCTGTGGGGCAGAAATGGGGATTAAACTTTCTTCTTTAACATGAATGAATGGGTATTTTTTAAGCGGGTATGGTGTGGAGACTACCACGCCCTGCCCCAGCCCCAGCCCCAGCCCCAG